TCAGTCCCACCTGGTTTCCCTGGACCTTCCTAATTGCATATTCTAAGGCAAAGTTGAAAAGGAGTGGCGATAAAGCATCTCCTTGTTTTAGACCATTCTGGATAGGAAACTTATCAGACAAATATTTACCTACATGGACTTTACTATACGTTTTGTTTAAACACATTTTAATCAACCTAACTAGTTTCATGGGTATCCCAAACTCTATTAGAATATTGCACAATACTTCCATCCTGACCGAATCATAGGCTTTCTTGAACTCTATGAATAGCTGATGTACTGTCTCATCGTACTCCCATTTTTTCTCCAATATGTAACGAATGCAAAAGATCTGATCTGTAGTTGATCTGTTATGTCGAAACCCACACTGATGATCCCCAATAATTTCATCTATATATGGACTTAACCTTGAAAGAAGAATATTGGACAAAATTTTATATGAAGTTGATAGCAGTGATATCCCCCGATAATTACTACAGTCAGTTTTATCACCCTTCTTGTGAACTGGTGCAATAATAGACTCCTTCCACTGATCAGGCAATTTTTCCTTATGCCAAATAGAAGTAATTAGATTGTGGATCTTAGAACGTAATATTTTGCCCCCTGCTTGAAAAAGCTCTGCCGGAATTTGATCACTACCTGGCGATTTATACCATTTCAATTTTGCAATAGCACTTAAACCTCAAAAAGGCTAGGATCAGGTATTAACAGCTCAGCTGTATGGATTTCTGTCTGCCTAACATCATTGACCCTATGTACATTCAATAACTGAGAGAAGTAGTTCCTCCACCTATTCAAAATATTGTGGTAATCTGCAAGCAGATCACCATTCTCATCCTGCACTAAGTTAGCGCTAGGCTGGTAACCCCTTTTAAAGTCATTTATTCCTCTACACATGTCTCTAATATTCTTGTTCTTACTGTTCATTGCAAGCTAATCAATATTGTTTTTCAGATATTCCATCTTGTTGTTCCTGAAATGCCTGCTGACTTCACGCCTTATATTGTTCAGATTATCCCCATTTAACTTGCTTGGATCCTGTAACCATTGCAATTTGGCCTGCTTTGTTTGATCTAATAATTTTGAGCATCCTTCATCAAACCATGGCTTATACTTCTTCGGTTCATAATAAATAGACTCTCTTTGGCAGACATTTTTATATTCTCTTTAATAGTTTCCCAAGTTTTATTAATATCCACCTCAGTGTCCAAGTTTTCCAAAGCTGCAAACCTATTTCAGATTTCAACACGATACTGCTCTTTACCCTCTACCTCATTCAATTTCTTGAGATTGAACCTTCCCATATGGACTCTGTGTGTTGTTTGTTTGCTCACTGCCAGTCTTTCCCTATCCTTTGCCACCACCAGGTAGTGGTCAGTATCACAATCTGCTGCCCTGAATGATTGGACATCAAGTATACTTGAGTGCCGTCTCCTATCTATCAAAATATGGTCTATTTGATTGTGTATCTTCCCATCAGGAGATGTCTAAGTAAATTTATGGATGTTACGATGTGGGAACATGTACTTTTGACAGTAAGATTTTTTTATGTGGCAAAGTTTACAACTCTAACTCCATTATCATTACTAATTTCATGCAAACTCTCATTCTCAACTGTTGGTTTGAAAATGTCTTCCCTCCCTACTTTGGCACTGAAATCTCCTTACAAAATGTTCATAAGGTACTTCGGGAATTTATCAAATACATGTTCTAGTTCTTCATAGAATCTATCCTTTATGTCATCAATCTTATCTTCTGTTAGGGCATGAACATTCATAACAATGATATCACACCAGCGATGTTTTAGTATTACATATAATGTCCTATCACTAATGAATTCTACCCTCTTAACTGCTGATATGATTCTCTTATGTACAAAAAAACCTGTACGTAATTCATGATTTTCTTTCCCCTTTCCATAGAAAAATGTATAGTCTCCTGCTGGTGCGATGCCACCTCCATCCCATCTGACCTCCTGTACTCCCGCTAAATCTATCTTATATTTTAAGATTTCTTCTGCCACTGCCCTGAGTGAGCCTGCCCTATACAGACTTCATACATTCCAAGTGCCCAATCTCATAATCCATCTTCATTAGCTTCCAAGATTCCAAGGAATCAGTCCAGGTCCGAGGCTTTGTGTTCATTTTCGTAACATAATGTTTTTTACGGTGAGGAGTTGTTAGCCCCACGCCCAACCCCCAAGCTGGAGGGCCACCCCTTGTTGGCTGTCTGCGACTGCTTATTCAATATATTCACAGCTTCCCTCCAAAACTGGAAGGTACTGAACAAAATTAAAATGAACCAATTTACTTCCTACTTACATCATCTCTCTCAGACCCATTCATTTTTCTGAATATTTTGTGTTCAATTACTTGGAATTTTATCTTCTTCCTTCAAGGTAAAGACTACATTTCAGCACAGTGTAAGACACTGAAGTTTTATTATGACTTAATTGATTGGACAAAGACATGCCTATGATAAAGTAAAACACTGACATTCTATCAGATGTTATTAAGGAGGATAGTCTAGACGTGAACATAGAAAACTAAATTTATGTTCGTGATTTGTCACCAGAATATAGAACAAAATCATAATACCAAGCAGATAATAAATCCCTAAAAAATATGACAGATTTCAAATATCTGTGAAAGACTCTAAGATATCAAAATTACCTTCATGATGATGTTCGGAGACGATCAAATTTTGTCAGTGCTTCCTATCATTCAGTTCACAATATATTCTTAAACATTCTTCATCCATGGGCGGTGGTGAAGGGGGCCATCTGCCAAATCTTTTATATTTTTGGAAAATCCGAATTAAAAAGGGAAATATATGAGAAATTAAAAGTAAGTTTGTAAAATGTTCTGTCTGTTTCTTCTACCCCCACTGGATCCCCCCCCCCCAAGAACGAGTTCCTGATTTTATATAGAGGGCATTTATGTGCATATGCACACACCAGTATAGTTTGCTGAAAAATGCAGGAATAAAATCATTATTATCGCTGGATGAAGATAATAAATTTTGCTTTTGGATGTAGTTTCTGTAATGACTTTTCATGCCTGTATTGTGCTATATCTCAGATGTAACAGTTAAGATAGCTGTACAACAAAAGAATACTTACCAATAATGCAGACTTCTTGTCCTTCAGCCATTGTATCTCCAACTTCACAAGAGACTGATTTCACCATTCCTGGCATTGGGGATAATACCACCTTAGATACATCAACCTGAAATTATTTTGACAGAATTTCAGAGAGGGAATACTGTAATCCATTACCATAAATAGTATTATACATATGACACAGTTGTAGAAGAAATTCGCCTAAAATGGGAATGTCTTGTGAGAGAGGTTCTACCGCCAGCAGGCACAATTTAAGGAGCATTGTTCAGTTGGAAATACATGCAACAACAACAACAAGTATTACTGTCAGAACTTCTGTGTGAGTCATGTATTCTGTTTCTATTAGTTTCAAAACAACTGTGACTTTACAAGTTCTATCACTCTGAATAAGAGGAAATTGATGTTTTTTTTTCTTTCAACTGAAAGGTCTGTAGTGTAGTTAGATACAGTGAGGTGTTTGGTTAAATCAGTGTGTCATTTTGATACAACAGTTAGGAAAGTATGAACATTTCCATGATAATACATAAATAAAATCAAGCAGCAGAAAAGTACAGAATACTGCTGAGAGGATCCAAATTCTGAAATTCACCCCTGTGGTACACAACCAGTTCCAAGCATTCCAGAGCAGGGTCTAGTACTGAATCATATTCTCAGATGTAGGGACCGCTTTATAGGAGGGCCCTGAAGTAGTTTATTTCTGAAAGACTTGTTAAGGCATTAACTCTTCCCACTATTCTGATTAGTAACTGAATTAATAGCAATATTTCCCCCGATAAACAACTTCTAATTTAGCAAGTTCCTGTCATGTTCTCAAGAAATTTAATTAAACCCAGTATACATGTACAATTCAAGGGGACATTAAGCATCACTTAGCTGACCAGGACAGAGAAGTATTGAACTGCAGGCAAACAGTTTATACTGTGGCCAGACTACTAGCTGTCTTGAATGTTTTTTTTTTCAGTCACAAAATGAATTCTTTCAAAATTCTTAATACTTATCATTTATTATCATCTTCCATCTCATTTGATGCTGTACAGCATCTTCATGCGAAAAAGCAATGTTATGAAAACTGAGAATCAATTAAATGAGGCATCATATGGTTATTAACTTATGGTGAGCAACTGTCCAAGAGCTGAACAAACCAACTTTACAGTATCATGTAGACTGTCTGAGAACTCACCGTTGGCTTCTCTGGCATCATTTTCAGAAATTTACTTGCTTTATCAGATAAAACAAAAATAGTGAACGTTGTCCCTTGGTACCTGTAAAAATGAGAATTATGTAATTTTTATATTATATATTCTTAAAATTCTATGTGAAGCTTGGGGAGACCCGCCGGGAAATATACGAATTGAGAAGTACATTTGAGGATTAAGTTTTAATGCATCTAAAAATGTTCAGTTGTTTGTTCACTTTAAAGACAGCCAAATATCAGAGTGGATTATTGCACACACTTGTCATTCTTACTGATGTTCACTGGTGAAACAGTTGCTCAATTTTGTGATGATTCATGGTGAGAGAAGAACGATACTTCACAATGGTGAAGCAGAATTTGGTATTTTGTACAGCACCAGCAAGATTATTCTAGTGCAAGGTGTGGAAAATGAGGATCACAGTGAAACTCACCATGCACTTTCTGTAAGTAAATTTCTGACAAAGCACAAATGGCACTGTTTCTCCAGCCATAGTATTTGACAAATTTAGTACTCAACACACATGAAAATAAACGGTGGTCTGAAAACATTACAAATTATATACAAAGTACAACATGGGATCTGAATATAATGTCTAAAGAATAGTAACCGTGGTATTTAAAAAAAAAAATTTCTTAGAAGTGCATATAACAGTCGCTATGTGTGACTCTGAAGCTACACGTTGGGTCGCCTTATAGCAGTCGCTAGACACTGGAGCCACGTGTTGGGAATGCCACCCATAACTGTTGCTGTGACACTCACTCACGTGCAGGGTTAAGGTGGACGCAGCTGCTCACCAAGAATCGCCTTGTAGCGACTCCAGAGAATCAGGCGGAGACGTTGCCTCACCTTTGGTTGCTGGGATGACTCTTATGTTCCGAAATATGAAGTCCTGGGCGCCACATAGTCGGGAACATGAAACTTTCTTAAGGTCGTTACTTGGGCCTTAGTTTCAGCAAGGCAGTCAACAAAACCAACGACAAACTCACGAACACTTTCACTTTATTGTATTTTATGAAATTACATTATTAATAACACTTTTTTTTATTGCTAGTGGGGTGGGACGAAGTCCCTTGCACTGCGGCCACTTCTGGCCTATTGTACCAGCCTCAGATGATAGGTGAGGGTGATTGTGGAGCAATTGGTGGAATGAAGATTGGCAGGGGAAACCGAAGTACTTGGAGAAAACCTACCCCAGCGCCACTTTGTCCACCACAAATCCCACTTGACCAGACCCGGGATCGAACCCGGGCCGCCGCGGTGGGAAGCCAGCAACTAACTGCTTGAACTATGGCGCATATTAATAACACTTAGTTATGACTGAATGCAGTCCCTTATTCCTATTGTAGGGAGTGACACTTTCATGCGTCTTACAGGTTTGAGAGCTGAGACTTGTCTCCGTAGAACAAAGAAAAGCATATCACATCCTTGGATGCTCGCATGATGTAATTTAGTAACTAGTGTTTCTGATTGGCTATACCCTGGGAAGTACCGAGTTAACTGCTTATGAAGATTGCATCATACCTTACTGGACAAAGGAGGAACCCCTGAATTATAAGCTTCATAATAAGTCTTGGTACACTGCGTCATCTTCCACTTAATGTATAGCCCATAGCGTAATACAACGCGGATGATTTACGCAATTTCACAAATTCATAACTTAAATCTTGCTAAAATACAGTAGTTGTTAAAAAAATAGATGTATACATGAATTAGGTGAAGTATATTATTAAAAAGGAGTAATCGGCTATATGCATGAGACTAATTTGAATGAAGTTAATTGGATTAAACATAATGACCTGTAGTCAGGAACATTCAAATGAGAACACTTACCTTTTCTTATATAAATATCATTATGAAATATATTCTGCACTTTATTATACTGTTCTGTATTTTGAATTAATCATACAATTACTTACACAATTTGTAATTTTCCTGAAGCATCTTTTGATACAAGCTGCATTACTATTGGCTTTCCATTGATGTTTGTCTGAATAAGGGGACTGGAAAGGTTTATATGATCTTCTACAGATAAGGTATCAGTTTTCATGTGAACCTAAAACCATTACAAATACACTATTATAAATATTTCATTATTCTTGACAAAGACTAAGTGTAAATAAAAATATCTGACACTGTCCCAAAACCAATATTTAATACTCATATTGGCCAGATGCTAAATTCAGAAAATATTTCAAGCTTACATTTTTATTTCCATACAATACTGTAGATTGAGGGGGCACATGGTAGCATAACGGGTTGAGGCATTATGCTACAAGACAGAAGGTTGTTAGTTTGATTCCTGATGAGATCATTGGATTTTCCAATTCACCTAATTCTTCCAGCTGCACTATGACCCTGGGGGTCAACTCAGCCTCAACAGGAAGGTAAAAGGCAGCTGGTGCATAAAGCTGACCTCACCAACGTCTGTGAGCCGACTGTTTAGAAAATGTGGGAACTTCGACATCTCACAACCCTGTGGGACTCCATGGCCATCAAACAAATGTATTTTAATAAGAATGATGAATATGAAATAGCACTGGAATGTTTTAACATGGTAAATAATGCAGTTTAGCTTTTCAACAAGTGAACACTTGCCTGAGGATGGCAAAATATGACCGAAAAATGTAGTACCTGATTGTGATTTTAATTTTATTTTAAATTGAAGAGAGATTGTAAACAGAGCTGCAGTAAAGATGGAAGTGAATGTGTAAGGTGATGACATGTTTAGATTATTGACAATTAATGCTCATGATATGAAATGCAAGTTCTGCAGAAATCAATCTTCATTTAGCAAAAGTAAAAAATAAAGGTACTATGCTGAAATTGTGCCCCCTTAGGTGACTGCTTAGTTTGCTTGTGCTGTAGCACTGGCCCTGTGTAGCATGTATGGGAAAAATAGGAAATGCACATAAGATATTAATTTGGAAATCTGATGAAAATTGACAACTTTGGAGACTTTGTGTAGATGGGATGACAACAGTAAAATGAATCTTAATGAAACAAAGTGTGGGGATGTTGACAGAACACTTATTTGCTCAAGAGAGGGCCCAGTGTTGGGCTCTTATAATGAATAAGATAGTAACCTTCTTGTTTCATAATATGCACGGAATTTTCTTGAGTAGCTAAACAATTATTAACTTTTCATGATTGACTCCCTGCTCCACAGAGCTATTATTGAGTTAGGTAAAGATGAAGTTTCAAAAGAGGATAGGAAGTTACAGATTTACATGACAACAGTAGCAGTGGGGAAGTCCCTTGTAACCAGTAAGAAACTGTGGCCTGTACTCACATGGAATTTGTTTCCTACTTTCTTAACATCACATTGTAGCTCTTCATCAAAGAGAGAGATCACAAGGGTCCATTCAGCTGGTTCTTTGCGTTTTGCTGTTGATGGTCTTTCATTGAGAAATGTATATGATCTCATATCCATCTTTGAAAACACACATGCAGCAATTGCTAAGATGTGCTGTTTGTCTGTACTGTTAAGCTGTCTTCCCTTGAAGCCATCAGGATACACTTCAGATAGGTAATTTGTTGAGATGTTGCCTTCAATAAAGTTTGTTTCTGTCAAGATATCTCGTAGCAATGGAATATTGTGTGTCACACCTGGAATAGAACACAAAAGTTGTGTGTTATAAATGTAGTAAAGATCATTCCTGCTTTATATCATTCCTGCTAAGTTCGTTATTATTTCAGATGCACATTTTAGTGCATGAAGAAAGAATGTGGATGATTTATGCATAATATTATCCTATTCAGAAATGACTACACAACCTATTAATAGTGGGGCTCTCCACCTAATTTTTAAATCATGAAAGGTCCTGCAGTGGTGAAAAAATAATAATGGGACATTGTCATTCGTTCTCATTTGGTAAAAATTTCCTGAATACTGGAGAACAGATATTTACAGTATTGAGATCAATGTAAGATTTTAACTTCTTATGTCATACTATATTAACAGATATTAAATTACAAAAATTTTTTCTGTTATGTTTTAACATGAAGTTTTTTGATAAAAGTAAACAAAAGCACACATAAAAATGGCATGCCAAATTTCTGCTCCAAATTTTAAGGGTTGTATAACTCTATGGTGTTTCAAGTCTTTTAGTTTTAAAATCTGATTCTCCTAGAACACACTAAATATTGACCTGAAATGGACGCTGGAGAAATAAAAGACATAGGAATACAACCTACCCCATTTCATCCACATAATATAGAATAGAACCTAATATTTCCATCTTAATTCTGGAATAAAATTCATTCAGAAAATTATTCCGCATGTTTTACATATATCTCCCATGATACATACTGCAAGAATGTCAACAGTGAAGAACACCAGAATCTGTACTGGGCATTTCTTGATAAGTTTTGCCATTATTACACGTACATTACTCCTCAACTTATCTTATGTTCCTAGGAATGTATAGTTTGGAAATAACTCTCCCCCAGTTACAATCACTTTACACATGGTTAAACTTTTAGATCAAATGTAAACTTTTGCTATACTGATTGAGTGACCGCTACTTGTCGGTGAAGTTAGTGCCAACTTTAGTGGATGGAGGGTGCCATGTGGTCAGTGCAACAAATCCCCACAGCTGTTAATTTCGGTTTTCTAGACCAAAGCTGCTATTTCCTTGAAATAGCTCCTCAATTATAATCATGAAGCTGAGTGGATCCCGTTCCAGACCCACTACTTGTCAGAAAATCTGGTAACACCAGGGTTCAAACCCAGACCTCTGGATCTGTAGGCAGGAACTCTGACCACTAGACCACAGAGGCGGTCGGTATAGTTCGCTTGCAGACTGAAGCCACAGAGTTTGTTTTGTTTGTTTTCTTTTCTTTTTTTTTGCTTGTAAACTGTTGCACTTGCATCATTAAGCTTGTCAAAGAGAAATCTAATTTTCCAGGACTGTCACATTTCTTGTCAGTCTCGCCTGGTCGAATCAGACTATCACAAAAATTATAAAAGAATTTGATCCCGTTTCATCTTGTCACTAAATCTGGTGTATGGAACTGTTTAGGGGTTGAACAGTAATCAGTCCTAAGACATGGAACGTAATGTTCCATTTGTATTATTTTCATTTCATTTATTTACATGTCAAAAATCCTTTACAAGGTCGTAAGACTCAGGATATAGACAATAGTCCAATATAACAATTAAATATAATAATTACAAAAAATATAATACATGTTAAAATATTTATGTAAACATAATTTTAAAATTATAAAACTTGTAATTTAACTTTTCCTTAATTAAGTATTTAATCCCAATGAAATCAATTATCAATCTTCTTAACGGTGTAATCACAAAATTCCTCAATACCATAAAATGAATGTAAAAGGAGAAATTGTAATAGTGCTTTCTTGAATCGATTTTTGTTTTTGGATAACTGTTTTATTTTGCGTGGAAGACTATTATAAATTTTGATTCCAAAATACTGTGGACCTTTCTGAAATGCTGTTAGATTTGATGAGGGGAGATGCAAATTTGAACTATTTCTTGTTGCAGTTGTATATATATCTGAATTTTCTGCAAATGAATCCATATTATTAACTACAAACATCATCAAAGAATATATATATTGAGAGGGCAATGGTAATATTTTCAATTCTCTAAAGATTTTTTTTACATGAATCTCTGTTTCCAGCTCCCACCATTATTCGAACAGCTCTCTTCTGCAATTTAAAAACGCACATACTGAAAGTTCTATTTCCCCAAAAAATGAAACCGTAAGACATCACTGAGTGGAAAAAGGCGTAATACACCATTTTAAGGGCATCAATATTTAAATACTGTTTGGTTTTCCTAATTATATAACAGGCTTTATTTAATTTACCTATAATTGAATCTATATGCCCTTTCCAAGATATTGTGTTATCCAGTGTCATACCCAAGAATTTTACCTCATTTGACTCTAATAGAATTTTGTTTCCATATTCAATATTTAATTTTTTGGTAAAATTATGTTTAGCTGAGAAATTTACACAGCAAGTCTTGCCTAAATTTAATGAAAGCATATTTGAATTAAACCATTCATTCATCGATCTAAACACCGTAGTAAGTTTTTTTTCCAGCTGCATAAAATTTAATTCATTTACTATTACACTTGTATCATCGGCAAATAGCACAACTGATGTATGTGATGGGACAGAACACTGTATAAAGGAGGGTAAGTCATTTACATAAATCAAAAACAATAGCGGACCCAAAATCGATCCTTGAGGAACTCCTTTATCAATTTTTCCCCAATTTGATAACTTATTGTTAAATTTTACTCTTTGGTATCTATTATAGCCAAAAAGACAAAGGCATTCTCTAGTCATGCTATGAAGCCTTAAGGATTCATCATTATTGTCAAGTGTGTCTCAAAACTGGTTGTAATATTTATTAGACTTCGCCACCAATAGCTGTGCCACTTCCATGAAGAACAGAAAGATGGAAACTGGGGTAGATTTCTTGTCTAATTGCAGTGCCTCTAGCATCCTCAGTTCACTGATATCTCCAGTGAAACGGGGGATACCTTCAAGAATTCCTAGGATATTATGGTTTGGAAATAATTTTATCTCAGCCTCTCCTTACATTACTGTAATCACTTGCTGCTAAAGTATCTTCATAAAGCTCACTTTCACTGTCACACGAGACTGCTTTTCAGGCACTTTTCAAAAACAACTTCTACTGAATATCTTTTATATCTGTCAAAATATATTTCAGTTTGACAAGAAGAAAATTGCATTCTGCTGAGAGTAAAGCAATTTATATATGACTCCAACACACTAGAGCTTCAGCACTTCTAATGGCAGCTTACACCACATAGTCACAGTACAAACAAATGAGTATATTTTTATTTGCTTATTGCAGCATTTCTGCAGTATTCCTTGTGGCTTGTTCAGATGTCACTATCACATAACTGACAACAACTTTGAACAAGTGTTAACTGGATGATCATGTGATTGAAACTTGATCCTTTCAGCTAGTGATGACTCTCCTAATGTAAAAGGGTATGAATACACAGTAGGGCAACATAACTGAAGTCCATAGGACAGTAGAGGGAATCCCAGTTCCATCACTGCTGTAGATTAGCTAAAAATAAGGGAATATTTTAGCACCATGACATTGTAATGCTTAGCCATCTGGACTGTTAGAGAAGTGCAATGTATGGTCTCTAAATTTTAAACAAAATTCACAATTTAAATACTGTTACCTCTTATGACATATGAATCAAGTGCCTCAAGACTTGTATTAATTGCATCATTCCTTGTGTTTCCATAGCATACAAGTTTGCATATCATTGGGTCATAGTAGATACTTATTTCACTACCTTCATCTATACCACTATCACACCGTACCTGAAAATGTAAGCGAACATAAAATATTAGTGTAAACAGCTGACAGTGAATTGTATATACCTTTTTTCTGCTAACACAGTTAGCCCTCTACAAGAAATACAATTTTAAATCCCTACTCCCATTTGCATTTCCCCAAGTTCCAGCATACCAATACTGTTTGTTCAATAACAGTGCAGTAAACTATCCATTATCTGGGTTCACAGATCAATGTGACTCCAAAGTACACTGACCCCTCAGAAAGCCAAGTAAAATACACAATATAGCAGAAATGAAGGGAAAAAAAAAGTGAAAGCTTTTCTGTATTCTCCTTGGGTGTGCTATGATTTAAATATCATTAAATTCTGCAGTGTAATATGCACCCTTTTTTATTTTTACATATTACATAGTTTTGCATATCTGACACTGTACTGGGCGTGTGACTGCCAATGTACAGAAGTGAACATTACATTTATAAGATAACAAGAGTGGAAAAGTGGAAACAAATCAATACTGTTCATGCCATTAGAAGTACATTCATGGTAAGTGGCATTTAATGTATCAAATGTGAACAAATGACACTCACTGAAGTCATGTTAAGTAACAATATGTGTTCAGTTCTAAAATCCATTAAATCTGCATGTCCAGTGCTCTCAGAATACTACTATAGAAGCGCTTGAAAGGAGCCAGAAGAATCATACCAAAATTTCCCTGTAGAAATTTAGGGAAATTAGGAAAAACCTCATGTATGGAGATAGAAAAGGCATGGATCTGAATGAGCATTTCCAAATTCTATTCACCAAGCTATGCATGCTTCAGTGTGGCTGGATGTTTTTCATGACTTCATGTCATCTGTGTAGTCTTGGCATTTTTCATGTTTTTCTTCCACCATAATCAAGACAGTGAAGAACTGACTGTAATAATTCAAATAAATCTATTATAGTCATGAAAATATAAGACTTAGCCCCCAAAGATCTCAGCTACCATAAGAAATAACATCTAAATTTTCATTAAGATTTAATTTTTTTCAGTCAGTGGTACAAGAAAGAGGGTGTTTGTTTACTATGGGATCATTATGCCCGAAGACAATCAATTAACTTTAGAAGGAAACTTGCTGAAGTAACAACTGAACATGTAACATATTATGTTTTTTTCTTTCTTTGCCTATAGACTCTTCAAAGGCCAGTTCTAGTATACTGGCAATCTGTCAGAAATTACCAACAAACATAGCCAGATATGAACATTTTATAGTTAGATGTGTAGGTCACAAAAAGCTAACTCGAATTAGATATAAAAAATACAGGTTCAATGTAAAATGTTCTTACATTTGGTACATGTAGTGGTTCAATGTATTTGTATAATCTGCCAATAGATGGAAGACCAAAATTTTTATAAGGATCTTCTGAATACACTCTACTTTCTATTGCCCAGCCTTTTATTGGAATATCCTTTTGTGTCAACAGCAGAGGATGACCTGTTAAAGAAGAAAATATATGATTAATATAATTACAGCATAGATTACATTCAATTCACTATCTTAAATTTCATAATATTTTACTAGACAAACACATTTCTTGCATACTATATTTTCTTTGTACACGAAAAACTTGAGGTGAAGCCTTTTGTATTTCAGTTGTGTCTTTAATTAAATTCACAGTCAGCTACTGATTATACAACAATAAATTATGCATTTTCTGGACTAGGCATGGCAAATTCAAGGCAGGTCTGTAGGTTTGTATGACATTGCTTGTTTCATTTCACCTTGAGTAATGAAGGCTTCTCTTTAGCTTTACAAATTTTCATATGGTGACTACATTCTTAAATGAGATAACAATTAATGGGCAATATGTAAAGATGTGGGAGAAGTCAATCATGGCCTATTCCAAGGTCCTGTCCTCACCTTTGTGTGGAGAAATTGAAGAAAACCATAAAGAAAAAATAAAACCTCAGCTAAGAGAGCCAGTAACCTAGCGAAGATTAAAATTGGATACATCCCAAATACAAGTCTGAAATATAACTAATACTTTAAACCTGAAAATGTTAATCTAAGACTTTAAAGCAATACTTACCTTTTGCTATACGAATCATCTGATGAACTAAGTCAACTCCTGTAATGTACTCTGTAACAGGATGTTCAACTTGCAATCTTGTGTTCATTTCCAAAAAGTAAAATTTTTGCTCAGAGTCCACTAAAAATTCAACTGTACCAGCTGAATAGTAACCAAGACGTTTGCACAGGGATACTGCTTGTTCTCCCATTGCTTTCCTTGTACCTTCATTTAGAAAAACACTGAAATTATGAAACATGATTTCAGCCTGATTTTAACTGACCAACTGCAGACCAAGAGGTAGGTCTGGTTATAGCTTTTGCCAAACTTGATTGACAATGGGAGTGTCCCTTTACCTCAAGGTGCATTTATGAACTAAAAGATAACAACAGGTGAGTGGCATAATTTGTAAATGGTGACTGGGTTGAGTAGTGATGTCAAGTGAGCTGGGAGGCAAAGTAACAGAATTATCAGTAGCTCACAAGAGATATGCTCTTTACTGTCTCTTATGTATACCAGATTAATTTACATTTTTTTTTGTGATGGCAGATTACCAAAATAACCTGCAAATTCAAATGCTTTATTGCATTTGAATCTTTTATTACTAATTTTCTATAATGTTCAGTTTACAATGCCACAATGCACTTCTCTACATGCCCCTTGTCCAAAATCATCATTTAGAAGTTTAACTGGCAAGGGACACATATGTCTTAATCTATTGTAAAACTCACAGGTGCAACCTTCTGAAGGGTGCATTCTTTGTAGTATGAGAACATACAGAATTTTTTTAACATTGTAGTGAAAGGACCCTGTGAGCTATGCTTCTGATTATTTTTGAACCAAACTCCTGTGACTTCAGAATGAACACCTGCAAGTTAACAGAAACAAGCAGCCATGTAATCTGACTTGCTGAAAGAATGTACAGGGATCTGAACCCAATACACAGTAAGAAGTTGGCAAGAGGTCCTGGTCGGTTATGAAATTTGATAAATTTTTTAAAAAATTGTTCATCACACAAAACAAGTGGCATATGAAATAAAATACCGATGTCATTGAAATCTACAAATTCTATTTGAATAATTTGAATGTAATTTATATTTAATTAAACAAAGATACATAACATTCGTCTCTATGCAATATGGTGCCAAGACTGCAAGGTATGCAAAATTGGTGACAAATTATTTGGATAGGGTGCATATGCTCATGAAACAAACATTTATACTCCTGGAAAATGTGTGGTAATTAATGATCCATCACTCACTCATGGAGCTCAGCCCTTCTTGAGAAGCTGTCAATTATGCAGCTACTCATGAACTTCCCAGCATTTTATGGAATCCAAAGGTTCATTACCATGTTCACAACTGCCCTCCACTGCTCCCTACACTGAGTCAGATCAATCTAATCCATATCATCCCATCCTATCTCCCTAAGATCCATTCTAATATTGTTCACCCCCGTATGTCTTGGTCTTCCTAGTGGTCTCTTTCCTTCTGGCTTTCTCGCCAATATCCTGTATGCATTCCTCTTCTTCCCCATTCGTGCTATATGCCCTGCCCATCTCATCCTCCTTGGTGTGATCATTGTAATAATACTTGGAGAAAAGTATGAGTTACGAAGCTCCTCATAATGCAGTTTTCTCCAACCTCATGTCACTTCATCTCTCTTCAGTTCAAATATTCTCCTCAACATCCTGTTCTCAAACACCCTCATTATGTGTTCCTCCCTTAATGTCAGAGACAAAATTTCGCACCCATACAGAGCCACAGACAAAATATAGTTTTGTAAATTCTAATTTTTATGTTTTTAGACAGCAGGCTAGAAGACAAAAGTTTCTAGACTGAATGGTAGCAAGCATTACCCAAAATCAATCTCCTCTTAATTTCCTCCTGAATCAGGTTTTGATTTGTTATAATAGTTTCAAAGTATCTGAACTGTGCCACATTTTCAAAATACCAGTCATCTATCTTTATGTCATGATTTTTCCCTGCATTTTGGTGATGAAACAGCAACATATACTTAGTTTTCTCTGTGTTTACTTCTAGATGAACCTCCTCACTAGTGTCAATTAAATTTTGTGTGCTTTTCTTTATGGTATCTACATTATCACCCAGTAAGTGCACACCATCAGCATAGGCCAATAGCTGATACATCCCATTTAATTTCAGCAACCTTCATCAAACCGTGGCTTATGTTTCTTCAATTTATAATAACCTAGACGCTCTTTGGCTGAAATTTTGATGATCTCTCTGATAGTTTCTCCAGACTCTATTAATATTCTCCTCAATGTCTATGTTTTCAAAAGCTGTGAACCTATTTGATGTTTCAACACCATACTGCTCTTTACCCTCTTCATTGTTTCATTTCTTGAGATTGAACCTCTGCATATGAACCCTGTGTGTTGTTTGTTTGCTCACTGCCAGTCTCTCCCTAACTATTGCCACCACTAGACAGTGGTCAATATCACAATTTGCTGTCCTGAATGATCAGACATCAAGTAAACATCAATGTCGTTCACTATCTATCAGAATATTGTCAATTTGGTTGTGAGTCTTTCCATCAGGAGACATGCAAGTAAATTCATGAATGTTCCAATGTGGGAATACTGTACTTTTGACAGTAAGATTTTTGAACGTGGCAAAGTTTACTACTCTAACTCCATTAACATGACTAATTTCGTGTAAACTCTCATTCCCAGTTGTTTGTTTGAAAAAGTCTTCCCTACCTACTTTGGAATTGAAATCTCCTAACAACATTTTCATATGGTATTCAGGGAATTTATTGAAGATATTTTCTAGTTCTTCATAGAACCTGTCCTCCAGATCATCAATTTTATCATATGTTGGGGCAGGAACATTCAGAACAATGATATCACATCAGTAACCTCTTCGTATTATGAATGACATCCTATCACTAACAAACTCAACCCACTTAACTGCTGATATGATTCTCTTATGTGCAAAGAAACCTGTACCTAATTCATGATTCTCATTCCCATTTCCATAGAAAAATGTATATTCACCTGTGGGTTCGATGCCACCTCCATCCCATCTGACCTCCTGTATTCCCACTAAATCTAACTTATATTTTGATATTTCTTCCGCCACTGCCTTGAGTGAACCAGCTCTGTACATACTTCTACATGTAACATTCCAGGTACCAAATATCACATCCATTTTCTTTCACTTAGGTCATTTATCCAAGGAATGTGTCCAGGTCTGAGGCTTCTTTCGCAACAAGCTTATTTTTTTTACTGTGAAGAGTTATTGCCCCAAGCTGGAGGACCACCCCTTGTCGGTTCTCCGCGACTTCTTATTCAATATATTCGCATCTACCCTCCACATATGGAGGCTGTCTCCTCCATCTGCAAACTGAGGATGCTCCACGCCGTGGTGAAAAGGGAACCACCTGACATGGACTGCATGATCCAGTCTCAAGTATATGAAATTTGGCTTAATGATAAATGATGCTGCATTTACAAATTCAATCTAAGTGCTTTGGCGAGAATACTAGTGTCAAAACCAGTTTTCTTTGTTTTAATTTGGACTGTTAGTTTTTTCAGATAAATCTTGCTTATTCATTATATACTGTATTTGACCCTTACTCTCACTTACTTATTTAGCTGTTATTTTTGTGGTTATATGAGTGCATGAATTATGGAATAAAGTATCTTTTAAAATGACTACTCATAAAAAATCTGCATATTAAACAAAGGAATTTCAGAACTTATTGAACATACATCTTAATCACAAAAATGGACACTAACTCTGAAATGAAATGCAATAAATGACATTTGTTGCATCAATTTCCCTCTCTTATTGAATACAGAAGCAGGATGAAATTATGATACATCGTTAACTACTTGCTGCACCACTTACATTCACTCACCATGATGCGATCAGAACATTAAATTGAAGTGCTTTGATGTTTTAGAATGTTAGGTCAGCAAGGGCATTTAATGTTGTTGTGTTACAATGTCATGTCATATTAGATCACTTTATGGCGGAAGGCAACCAGTACTAAATTGTTACTCTTGTTTTTGTCTCACAGTGATATTAAAGTAATTGGCAAAGAGGTAAATTAGTGTTTGTCCATAAGTTGCCATTCCTGTATGTACTAATACCAAAATTAAATGTGGGGAGTAAAAGAAATTTAGTTACCTTGGTGCTTCCTCAATTACTTTTTGATTTCGCCTCTGGATGCTACATTCCCTCTCATTTAAGTATACAGCATTACCATGTTTATCTCCTAGTACCTAAAAAATGACACAATTTAAAGTGTATAACTGTTCTTTTTTAAATTTTCTTCAGATCTTCGGTTTCATTTGTTAAAACTAGGAGTCTACAGATCAAAAACTTATACAGAATAATTAACATATCCAATTATATAACATTAACTGCAAATAATTAATGTTCTAAGTATACATTATTAACTTCTCCTTGTGAAGCATAACAAATATTTCCATATTACTAATTTTATTTAATTTTCACATTATCAGTGTCAAATTCTGTGAAAATAGCCAATATATGTGTCTTTTTTACCTCAAATTCTACATAAAAAATAATCATTATTACAGTTGGCCCTCATTATACCACATCTCAATATACTGCATTGCGTTATTCTATGCCTCATTACATTGCAGATTCGGATATACCATAGCTTTGATAAGGTCTTCCAGTATGATTACATAACAGTCATGTTGTACAAATTTCTGTGAGATATTTTAGTGACAGTATAAGCCTGTGTTGCAGCATTCCTTGCTATAGTGTGCAGGTACAGAAAGTCCAGTCTGAGTAGGCTATATCTTTCTGGATTCTCTAGCATTATGATTATTTTGTTCAAACAAGAAAATTAAATCATCCATTCTTGATCATGGTCTGGCATGTAATTTAAACTATATGCATGCATTTTATTCACTGCTTAAATACTGTATTCATAATCTCTGGGATTCAAAGATTAGATGAATGTCAGTTTCACTTATAACATGGATAGTTTATAATGCAGGTACTTAAGCTGTCCCCCCAACACCCACTTTATATCAAGAGTCTACTGTACTTTATTTAAACTAAACTGAACTGAACTTGATACCTTTACTGAAAAATCTGAAAGTTACTATTGTGTAAACTGCATTCTGGCAGTGGCTTCACAGATTTTATGTTTTATTCTCATAAAATGACACGCATGATCACAACTTAATGCATTTATTTACAATTTCTCTGTGATGCAGTTACAATTCAAATATCCTTCCTTGGGGAAGTGTTGATACCATACCATTGTCAGAACTTCAAGTTATTTTACGGAATACTATTGCACACCTGAAGATGAATAAAAGTTTGTTACAGTGGTCTGGTACAGAGTCTTTCTTGAATGGCAGAATCCAGCTGCCTTAACTTTGAGAGGAACATGCAAGTTGTAGGTGAACATGATCTAGCAATAAACATACAAGCATGTAACCTGTTAGCTCTATTACTATGCAGTTATTGCTGATTTTGTATGGTCTGCTCTCCTCGCATATGATTCAGTATAATATGCATCAGTTCTCTTGGCGTTCCTTTTCTTACAAGACATTCAGAAACATGTCGTGTGTTCACATTTACAGAACAAAATTGACATGGTGAAATACTCCCTTAAACAGTGGAATTTTCTGAATGATACTAACGTGAAAAATAAATCATATAAATCATGTACCCTGGTGTTCAAGTTCTCACTATCTCAGCAACTCTCAAACTGGTGAAGGAAGCATGTTCAACTTGATCTTTCTTAGGCAAAAAATGCATAGGGAAGAATACTGTGCTAACCAAGCAAAAGGGGTGATGAAACTGAAGCCCGATCATAACATTCACTTGCAAATTCATGACTTAAGAGAGTGATTTATTCCATAAAAATTAGACAGATTCAAGTAACTAAAGAAAGCTATTATGAGAGTAGAATCATGTTTTTAAACGGTTCTTATGGGCAGTACATGTTAGTGTTTTTGATCCAAATCTTGCACTTTTTGTTGATATACGATGGGTCTGTCAGAATGGATATATTAGTGCTCAGAATACTAGGTACCAGAGCAGTATTAGTCTGAGACAGAAGTCTGAAGTTCCACTTCATGATTAGAAGAATGGAGTGTGATGTTCCACTACAGTCACATGATCAGTAGGACTCATATTTTTTAAATCAGCATAGTAAGTCATGAAATTCTCCAGCCATCTCTTTTAGAACATTACAGAAAGAAGGAAGGATATATGGCTATTTTATGCTAAACACACACTGACAATTCCATCAGTGTCTTCAGCATGTTATTTGGAGACAACCTGATAAGTCACAGACTGTGGCATACAGGGTCTGCAGATTTTAAATCCATGTGATTTTTTATTAACGGGGAGACTTAAAAGATAAGTGCATTCGAGTAATCCCCACACACAGAGGTCAGTGAACTCAAACTTGTGTCAATCTTTTTCAATAGATCTGGTGTTCGTTTAAGAGCAGAAAATAACTGATGTCAGCATCTACTGTGATGGTGAATTGTTATATACAATTTATTGTACAGTGTGTGGCATGTAAGCAGCAAACCTGACCTCTAGCCGAGGTTCTGGCTAACAGGTAGATGATAAGAGAGTCGGGTGATTTGGCCCTCCGAGGAAGACTCTGTATTATACCATAAGGATGTTCCCTGGACACTGTCCATAAGCTGCAGCATAAATTATATCTACTGTGGTTCAGAGGCTGCTTTTGTCTTTGTCTAGAGATAAACAGCAGTGAGGATGAGGAAACACCTACTCAGCCAGTCCTAGTAAAAAAGGCTATTCCTAGTTACTGGGAAACTGAGAGTTAATAAGGAATAGCTTCATTTAACAGGCTTGACTGAGTATATGCTTCCTCCCCCTCTTAATTCTTAGCTGACGGTGGAGACAAACTAGTTTCTGAAGTACTGTAATTGTAACTCAAGGTAGTGGACAATGTCCTTACATTGTGAGGATGAATTTTTGGGCTGAAAACACTGTTAACAAAGAAATGTGGCTAAACCGACCACTTGATGTAAATGAAATATAAAAGCTATTAAATAATGTTTATGTTGTCAATACAGGGCTCAATTTGTGCCTCAGCTGTCTGGAATGTAGTTCTGGTTCAATTTTATAACATTCCAATTTATTGGTTTTTACTTCTAAGGCAAGTGATTTTTAAATTATTATAATCATGCTTACAAAATACTGTTTGTTAACAATCATTCAAGAAGGCTGAGTGATCTACAAGAGTAGTCTGATTATTACAGTGTCTTCTTAAATTCTTATGACCAGAAGTGGACGCAGTACAAGGAACTTAGTCCCAACCCACTAGCAATAAAAAAAGAATTGTATGTTAGTTTAATGCAGTAGTTTTAGTTTAGTTTTTGTTCATTTCTCTCAGCCATATTGATCATGTAGGACATATCATTATGATACAGGATCCAAAACTTGCAGAAATTAAAGAAATCAACTAGTTTCAATCGCACTCAATACTGCAACATAATAAAAATACAATTCATAGACCCAAATTACTTAATCATCCTCTACTAATTAATATGAGACTACACATACAATTTATAGAAGAACAATGCAGTTCATTTCATATTTTTACTAATATACTGTATACGCCTATTTATTTTTTCTCTCATTTATATGCAAAAGCTATATTGTCACATTTGCCTTTCGGTTTTACTAGTCCCCCTTCCAAGTAAGGAAAGACATTATGGTTATTTTCTCAGCATTTGTTATAAGATTACTTACAGTGAACCATGAGTGCATGTCATTCATAATTCTGTTTATTTTTTGTTGGTTGATCTGTTCATTCTCAATTAAAATCACAAATTAACAATGTTTCTAACTCACAGTATTATGACTGTAATTAATTAAATATTATGAAGTGGTGAATATGTATTGTAGTTTCATTATTACTAGCCTTAGCAGTACAACATTTTATAATATTACCTGTTGGATTTGGATGATATTGTGTTCTTTATAACATCATTAAGGAGTACTCAAATAATACAAATTGTCATGAGCAAGTAATTTTTTTTCAAATAGTAAATCAATGAAAGAGTGAAAGACAGAAAAGTTTGATGCAAAATAAGATGGTCATTCCATTAGTACAGTGTCCATCATTTTCACTGAAAGAGCTTTCTAGTTTCAACAGTATGTCTAAATAATTTAACGTTGATTCAAACAGAAGCAATTAAAGTAAATTTCCTTGTTGCCACTGATTCCATAAATTCTTATGACTTAACATCAGTAATATAAGACATGATGGTATCATCATGATGGACATTATTGCAAACACAAAATTTATAGGGAACATGCATTATATCTGACTTGTAAGGGACATATAGATTTTTGCTTCACAAGTTGAGCACAGTTTGTTTTCTAATGTGTAAACTATACTATATATTAAATATAAATAGTCTTAAAGTTGTATGTTATGCATATTATCATTCATTGGTGAAATATGGAATAATATATTGGGAAATATATCAGACAGTCATAAGGTCTTTGTTATACAAAAGAAAATAGCAAGAATAATGATGGGAGTGGGCCCAACTTGTACATGTAGAGATCTATTTAAAAAGCTTGACATACTGCCAATCCCATGTGTATATTTGCTCTCATTGATGATATTTGCTGTTGATAATTTGGATAAGTTTCAAACCAATAATACTGTATATGTGATTGGTACCAGAGCAATGACCACCTTCACATACCTTCAACACATTTATCATCCTATCAGAGAGGGGTGTATTATTCAGGCGTCAAGCTATTTAACATTCTGCCATCAAATATAACAGTTTTAAAAAATTATAAAAAGCAATTTAGGTTTGTTTTACAAAATTATTTGCAAAGTAACGTATTTTACTCTATTGATGAATTTGTCGAGCATGCAAGGGGTTCAAAAGTTAAGAGTTAATAAATGGTCTGTATGCGTGAATTATATATTGTTGAGACTTGCTTGTTGTAAGTGTAGTGGTATGTATGATGTCTGTTTTTGTTATTACTTACTCATGGAGCTGAGCCCTTCTGGAAGAGCAGACAATTCTGCAGCTACTCAAGAATTTCCCAGCATTTTATGGAACCCGAAGGTTCATCACACTGTTCACAAGAACCCTCCACTGGTCCCTATCCTGAGCCAGATCTATCCAATCCATACCAACCCATCCTGTCTCTCTTAAGATCCATTCTAATATTGGCCACCCACCTACGCCTTGGTCTTCACTGCGGTCTCTTTCCTTCTGGCTCT